CTAGTCCGGCTACTCAACCTCACATTTTAGTATCCTTCCTCCTTTCTTATCTCATTTCCTTTAAAAAAGGAGTGGTTAATTCTGTTGCTACTATTATTCTGTTCTTCAGCAAACCAAACTACTCTCTCTCTCTCTCTCTCTATTATTCATAATTCTGAGTTTAATTTTTGAATGTTTTTCATACAATGTATTTTTACTTTTTACTCATGCGTGCGTGGATATTTTGGGAATTATCTTTAAAGAGTTAGCATTGTATAAGAAACTAATAAATTAGTTTTTAAAGATAACAGGGATATACTTATACGATGGTAAAATTATAATATAGGCAAATAGTATGAACAAAAAGACTAATAAGAAAAATATGGACATTTTGATAGTAATGCAACAAAAAAGAAAAGAAGAAGTTCTCCAAATTGCTGAGCAAATAGAAAGTATTCTAGAAAGTGATAAAAGCACCTACGAAAAAAAAGTAGCTTTGTTTGATTTGGTAAAAAATCTTGAAATAGGAGAAAGCCAGCCACTCAAAGAACAAAGAATAAACTGTCTTTTAGAAAGCAGACTACACAGCACATTAGCTAAAAAAGCCTTAGAAGATTACAGAAAAACGACTGTTAAGGCATTTAGTAAAGCTCAATAAAGTATTATGGAAACTATGAAACAAGATATTTGCGTGCGTGTGAGAGCCATTCAATTTTTTCATGCTTTTGCTATAAGTATATTTTAGGTATAGCAAGTAAAAAAGATTGAAAACAAACCACTCTCATTCCTCCTAAAAATTATATTAATACTATGGAAAAAATAGAAAAATGCGACAAATGCAAAAAGCATTTCACCCGCAAGTTTGTCGCTCCCCAAAACCAATGAAGCCAAATCAACGAAGTAAGTTTTTGAACAGACAACCAAAAGAAAACCTGAAAAGGCTACCGTCTACTTTGTCGCTCTTGCTTAAAAGAATGGCGGCAAAATTACCCAGACGATTACTTGCAACTAGTTGGCCCTACCAAGAAAGCCCGTTTTCGTTCTTACCTTTATAATGGTTTATTTGACCGGAATGATTTGGTTAGGAGGTAAAATTCTTTATAATGAAAACAACTAAACTTAACAATGGTTTTCCTCAACCTCTCCAAGCCCAATGCTTCCAATGCCAAAAAGCCTTCTTAGTTAAATACAACCCCACCAAAGGAATGTATAGTCAAAAGAACTACTGGCTCTATTGAACCAACGAAAACTGAGACCACCAAATAATGCGTCGCAAAAAAGAAACTGAACGGGGAGAAAAAGTTTGTGATAGTTGCTTAAGAAATTTCTATTTGGCCAAGAAATGAGAATTCCTCGACCAAGTAAAAAGTGCCAGTAAAAGGCAAACTTTACGCAGTTATATTTACCATAATATAATTTAATTATATTAAACTTGGATTTGTTATTTTTTTTAATTGAAGTTCTATAAAGTTTATGCTAAAACTATATATATGATAAATATCAATCATAACCAAGAAGTAAAAAATTATTCCCTTTTCACCGTAAACAATAACTTTGACGGAAAAACAACTTTGGCAATAGTGGTTTTGGCTACTATTGGCTTGCTGGTTTATTTCCTCAGTCAAAAGAAGCAAGATAATCAAAAAGAAGAATACTGAGCGTTTAACTAAACAGGTCTAACCTAGATAAGAATTGCTTGATTAAGTGTCCAATCTATTTTTTTTTAGTGCTTTTTTGTTGGCTTAGGCAAGGCTTTTTTTGGTAGTATATCAATTAAAATTCATAGTATAAAAATAGGCTGAACTAACCTAGTAATTATACTTATGAATTCCAAAAAACTTCCTCCTATCCATCCCGGAACTATCTTAAAGAATCAATTCTTGGCACCCAAAAACCTTACTCAAGCTGAATTAGCTAGAAGTATTAGCGTCTCTACTAAAAGAATTAATGAAATTTGTCAAGGTAAACGAGGCATTACTCCCGATACTGCTTGTCGGTTAGCTTTTTATTTTAATTTGGGCCAAGAAGGACTGGAGTTTTGGATTAATTTGCAACAACATTACGAAAAGGAATGCTGGCAAGATTTTCTGAAAACTCAAACTAAAAAGATAAGAGAGGAAGTTAAATCGTTGAGGTGTTAATTTTCAAGAAAGAATTCTTTTAATTTAATTGGCAAAAATTGATAAAATTAATTATTATGGTAAATGCCCAAGAATGATTAGATGAAAATTATCCCAAAGAAAAAAGAAATGAAATTACTAGATTAGATATCAATAGTCAAAATCTAGAAGGACACTTAGAGATCTTTCTGATTTTGTGAATTTAAAAACATTAGTTTGCTGAAAAAATAAACTAACCTCTTTAAATTTAAGTAATTGTTATGCTTTAACTTGACTTGGTTGTTGAGATAATTACCTAACTAGTCTTGTTTTATCTGACAATCTTAGTGGTTTATGATTTTTGGTTTTATCAAATAACAACTTCTATCGGGATCTGTCTTTTTTACAAGGAACAACTAATTTAAACCAGCTTTTTTTATCAAACAATAGATTCTATGGTTCTTTAGAGTATTTGAAAAATATGAGTAAATTAGAAAGTTTTCAAATTGATAATACTGATGTAGGTGGTTCTTTAGAATCTCTAAAAAAGTTAAACTGATTATGAAATTTAGATATTAGTAATACTAACATAGATTCTGGATTAGAATATTTGCCACAACGTTTGGAACATTTTAATTGTTTGTCATACAAAAACCCAGAACCTAGAGTAAAAATTATTGAACAAGAATTAAGAAAGTATGGTGAACCAAAAAGTTACGGCAATTTTGTTAATCTTCTTCCTGCTTGAAAAGCAGATCATCCTGACAAGATGAAAATAGTTCAGCAAGAAAAGCAAATAGAGAGGTTAACTAATCAACTTAATAATAAACAAAACCAAATTACTAATTTAGAAAAAAAGGTAAAAAAATTAGTGACTAAGAAAGTAGAGCTTCAACACTGATTATCTATCAAAGGTCAAGAGATTGATTCTTTGAAAGCTCAATTAACTGGTAATCAAACCATCATTAAAAACTTACAAAGAGAGTTAAATAGCACTCAATCGCAACTATTAGAAACCAATCAACAATTAAACGAAACTTTTAAACAACTTAATGACACTAATTCCCAACTAACTGCTTGAAAATCCCCTTTTTTTTGACCCCAACTTTCTTGAAATCAACCTAGTTCAGCAATAACTTTTCGCACTCAACTAAACTCTTTTGATTTAGCAGGAACGGCTGGACTTTGTCTTTTAGCAAGGCATCTTTATCGTAAATATAAAAACAGACCAGTTTTACAGGATGAAGAAAGACGGCCTTTGCTTCAACAGCAATCAGAAAGACACTTAAACACTGAACTAAACCAACCTAGAAATACCTTTCAAGAACAAAATCAAATAGCCGAAATTGCGAGAATAATCTCCCCGCATGAAGAACCAAAGTTTACTGCTATTAAGCAAGAAATTACTCGTCTTAAATACCAAGAATTAGCACCCCAGTTTAGAGAAGAAAAAGCCAAATTCGAACAATTAATTACTGCGGTCAAAACCAAAGCCGGTAATTCAGAAAAAATTGTTGATTTATTGCTAGAAACTAATAAGCAGTTAATTAAAAACAATGACCAGTTAATCCAGGGTCAGTTAATTGCTTATCAAAGCCTTCTCGAAGGCAATTTAGCCAAAGAAGAAATCCAAAACTTGCTTACTAAACAGGCAGAAATTAGTCAATTAGAGAAACATTTAGAGAGTTTACAACAAAATCAACCACAAAACCTCCAAGGAACTGCCCAAGAAGCCCAAATCCTCCAACCGACTTATGGTATTCCTGGTTCTAGCAAAGGAGGAAATAACTAATGAACAATAACTATGGAGAGAGAGAGAGAGAGAGAGAGAGAGAGCAAAAACAACAAATGGCTATGAATAATTCTTGGCATAGTAGTTTTAGCAATAGGCACAGTCGCCATAGTCTTTTGGTCAAAAAACAACCCCAAAACTCCCACTCAAAAAACCGCCAAAGAAACCAATTATCCTAAAATCCCTGAAACCACTTCACTTCCCACTGAATCCAACCCTCCAATCACCAACTCCACCATTGAAAAATACCTCCCTTCTCCTGAACAAGCCCAAAAAGAAATTCAGCAAATAATTAACTCCCACAGAACTTAAATCAAGAACAAGCAACCTTAGAATTCCTTGCCCAATATGTTCCGCAAATTAAATATTGAGAACTAACTTCCTTGGCTGAATTAGACGAGAAACTAGTCCAAATAAACCGTAAAACCGGCATAAATCCATGAGCCAAAACTCCACGAGTAGAAGAATTTAATGAACAATTTGAAAACTATTATACTTTAAAAAACCTTTGCTTTATTGCTGCTTTATTACTTCGTAAGGCCGATAATCCCCATTCTGTTGATTGAAACTATTTAAAAGAAATAGAGCAAGGAATTAAACAGAAACCCCAATATCACCCCAATTTTGCCACCCAAACTAACTATCAAGAATTAGGAAGTCGCTTGATTCAAAAAATAAACACTGATTTAACTAATTTAGGACAAGAATTTGCTAATTTAACCAGTGCTGAACGCCTAAACAACTGACAAAATAAATACTTAGACAAAATTTTCATCGGCAGTGCTTATAACATTGTGCGAGAAGGATTAAATGAACAAATGAACGTCCCGGGTCATACTGCTTATGAATTTGAAGAAATAAATAACCAAGCCACTAATTCTCACAACTTGCTACCCCGGAAATTTATATTTTGTTAGAGCATCGTTGGAAGGAGAGTAAATAATGTCAGAATTAGAAAAACAACAAAAAGCCCGAAAACGCTGAATTAGCATTATATCGTGAATAGTTGGCTTACTTTTAGCCTACTTAAGCACTTGGCTTTTGCTAGGAATAAGCATGAGTGATATTTGAGTATCCTTAAAAAGCATCTTTGCTAGCAATGAAAAACTAATCAATTATGTCCCTAAATTAGAAACAATGGCAAACAAATTAGAAAAAGCGCCCGTCGGTAAACTTATTTTCCCCTGAGTTCACAAAAAACTTGAAAAGGAAATAGTAAAAGACACACTAACTGGTAATTTTACCGGAGCGAACCAAGGAATAAAGACTTATTCTTGGGTAGTTATAGCAGTTTGATTTTTAATGCTTGCCGCTTTTTGAGCAGGATTTTATTACTTAATTAAGTGAATCATTTCTCGGTTTATTTGAAAAGAACCTATGACTGAACCAGAATTTTAGCGGAAAATATCGGGGTCATTAATTTTCTCTTTGATCCTTTGCCTTAACTGTTCTTCACTTAAAAATCCACCGCCGACATAACTAATTACTCGACTTAATTGTCGACCAGCTCAGTAAACTCATGATACATTGTGATTATCCCTCCGAACTCTGCCCTTAGAGCCATGTTCAACCCCGACAAATTTGCTAATATCAATTCTGGCTCCCTTAGCAAATCAATCTCTCACACTATAGAAAGTATCCATGGCGTAATTATAGCCCCAAGGAGCACTGGTTTGGATCGAGTAAGCAAATTCACTTTCAGAAGGAAAATAACCTAATACATAATCCAAGGCTTGTTCGTGAATCAATTCTAATGACATCATGCTTTGTCTTCTGCGGCGGTCAATTTCTTCTTGCCGTTGAGCAATAATTCGCATTTGGGCTTGTTGTTGTTTTGATTCTTGTTCTTGTCTCTCCATTAAAGCGGATTCTTGACGCATTTTTTCTAGTTCGGCAGCTTGCTCTTGCTTTTTTCTTTCTATTTCTTGCTCTTTAATCATTAGTTCGCGCTCGTGTTTTCTTTTTGCTTCGAGCATTTCTTCTTCTAAGTAGGCTTTTCTTTGCTCAGCTTCTTTTTCGATTTTTTGCCGGGCTTCTTGGTCTTCGAGGGCAATGGCTTCGAGACGTTTTTTGGTTTCTTCCTCTAAGAGTTGGGCTTGTTTTTGGAGGCGTTCTTGTTCGAGTTTATTTTGGGCTTCTAAGGCTTGGATTTGTTGGCGTTGCTTTTGTTCTTCTAATTCTATTTCTTTTTGTTTGGTTTCTAGGGCTTGCTGGGCAAGTTTTTGGTTACGCTCAATTTGTTCGGTGCGGGCTTGGAGACGGGCTTGTTCTTGCTCCATTAATTCTCTGTCTCTTGCAGTTTGGAGTTGGCGTCTTTTTTCGGCTTCTTGGGCGTCTAGTTCTCTTTCTCTTTGGCGGTTTTCTTCTTCCTCTTGGATTTTGCGGTCTTTTTCGTGGAGTTGTTGCTGGCGACGGGCTAATTTGGTTTGTTCGAGTTTTTTCCGGGTGGCTTCGCGGGCTTGTTTTTTGCGTTGGTGTTCGGCGGTTTCTTGGTTGAGATTAGAGAAGAGATTGTCGTAGCGGGAAGATTTAGTGGTTTCGGGTTTAATTTGCTTGGTTTTTTGGTATTCAGTGAATTGCTTTCTTAATTCTTCTTCGCTGCTGGAATTCAAGGCTTCTTCGGGGGGTTAGTTGGGCAGTATCTCTTAGTCATTGGGCAAAGTTAGCGTCTTGGGGTTTTAAGCCGATGTCTAGCCATTCTTTGGCAGTTTCGCAAGTAAAACTATTGTTGGCTCATTCTTTGGCTAACTCTGCCGTGAAATCAAGGCTAATGGCGGTTCATTCTTCTCAGTTTTCAAGAGGAGTTTCGGTAGGGGCAAGCCGATATCCGGCAATTTCTTTCTTTACTTGCTCATTAATTAGCTCTTTGAGGTTCAAATCGGCTAATACTTGCCTTTCTTTTTTGGGGCTGGAGGAGACGAATTTGTCTCAAATGGCTTGGTTGATGGTGAAGGCTTGGTCTTGCTGGTCTTGGAGGTAAGTTTGGTGGTCTTCCTCTAACTCCGGATTGTTGGCTAAGTAATCAGCCCAAGGTTGGTTAGTGAAGTTTTCCACGGCAAATACCAACAATTCAAAAAAGTTATACTTGGGTATGGTTTTAAAGCCAAGGGTGAGGAGGATATCTCTTTGTCAACCATTAATCGCTTCTAGTTCTACTCAATCAGCCAAAGGATAGTTGAGGTTTAAGTTATCCTTTCCTGCGGCGAATTCTTCCAAGGAAACTAGGATGGATCGCTTATTTTCGGCTATTTCTTCTTGGTCGGTTTCTTTTTGGCGGGCTTTTGCTTCTTGTTCTAAGGCTTTTTGTTCTCCTTGGAGGAATTTAAGTTTTAAGGGTAAATAAGGGCTTTTAGTTTCGCCAAATTGGGTGTTGGGGTCAGGGATTATTTCTTCTTGCACGAGAAAGCTTAAATTAGTGGCTTTCAAGCCAAGGGAGCGAATTAGTGCGAGAGATTGGGGCGAGTGTTTGAATTCTTTGGTTAATGGGGCTAAGCTTTGGAGAATAGTCTTTTGTGGCTCAGCGAAAGCAAAAGTTTTCAGCCTTTCCGGCGAAAGGTTAGCCAATTCTTGCTTTTGTTCGGAGGTCAAAATAACCTTCTCTAAGCCGAAACTAAGCAAGCTCTCTTTTTGTTGTTCGCTTACTTGTCAATTGGAAGCATCAAAGAAACTAACGCCGATATCTTCAAGGGCGTTTCTTTGTTCGGAAGTTAGGTTGAGGTTAGTGATTAACAAACGGAGAATGTTTTCTTTTTCTTTGAGGGTTAGGTCGAAGTTTTGGGCTTCTTGGTGGATTTGTTGGCGAATTTGGGCGAAAGTTTGTTTGCTTTCAGAGGACTTTAAGCCGAGAGAGTTTAAACCGGCGTTGAGGAGTTTGAGTTTTTGGGTGTTGGTTAGTTTGGGATAGTTGGCTTGGACTTCTGCTTGGTGGTATTTAACTCGGTCAGCTTGGAGGGAAATGGCGAAAATTTGTTCGGGAGTAAGGCGGAGGTTAGCCAAAAGGTTAGCGGTTTCTTCGTCGAGTTGGAGTGGTTCGATAAGGGAGGAGAGTTTTTGGAGGTCGTTGGCTGCTTGGCTTTTCGGAGTGATTGATTTTAATCAGCCTTTTATTCTCTGTCATTCAGTTTTAATACCGGGGTTTTGGTTTCCAGGGCGTCAATATCTACTGCCGAAGTAAGCGGGTTTTGTTTGATTTCTTGGAGTTGTTGGGTGATTTGGTTGATTTTGGCTTGGGTTTGCTCTTTTTGGTGGGTGTTTTCGGTAGTTTCGAGTTGTTCTTGGGTTTGTTTTAGTTCGCTTTCTAAGGCTTTTTGGGTTTGGTGGGGTTTTTGTTGCTGGTCAAGTTTGGTGATGGTTTCTTTTTGCTGTTGGATGTATTCTTTTTGGGTTCTTTCGGCTTGTTTTTCGTAAGTTTTGGTTTCTTCTTTAATCTTTTGCTTGGTTTCTTGGTGAATACTTTCTATTTGCTTTTGCGTTTCTTGGGCAATTTGGCGTTTTTGGTATCAGGTGTAGGCGTAGAGTAGGGCGATAATGGCATTAAAACCAACAACAGAAGGTCATTTGTATTTTTCTTGCTCCGGGGCTGAATAAGCGAGAACATTGCCCATGACATAGCCGATTATAAGGACGTATTTATCTCATAAGTCAATATATTCCATTAGGGTATCCTTGTGATAGTAAGCAATAGCTAAGCAGATATTAAGGATAATCAAGCCTGGTAAACCATTTCGCTTATAGACGATATATTCTAACAGGAAAATAACCAAATAAAGCATGAATAAAGTCATCTGCTTTTGCTGAGCCGAAGAACTCTCGGAAGCAGCAGAAGAGGCAGCAGCAGCTTGGGCGGTTTCTTCTTCCATAAGTTTAGCGACAGGAGGGAGTTCGGGAGCGGGTGGTTCCTCTAAAACTTCTTCTTGGGTTTCTTTTGCTTCTGCTCATTCTTGTTGGAGAATTTCTTGCTGGGCTTGGGCAATTTGGGCTTGTTGTTGGGATAATTCAGTTTGGAATTGCTGATTAGTTTGGCTTTGTTGATTGGCTTGAACTTGTGCTTGGATGGTTTGAATTTGCTGTTCTTGGGCTTGAATTTTTTGCTGGGTTTGGCTGGTTTGCTGTTGTTCTTGGGCGAATTGTTCTTGTTTTTGGGTGAGTTGGGTTTGGATTTGGGTGAGTTTTTCTTGGCTTTCGGCTTGGGCGGCTTGGAGCTTTTGGGCTTGGGCGGAGGAGGTTGGTTTAGTGAGGGATTGTTCAGTTTTTTGGAGTTTGTTTCGCTCTTTGGCAAGGGCAGCTTTTAATTGGTTTAGTTCTTTTTTGGTCGCTTGCTGTTGCCTTTGTTCTTGGGTCATTTTGGCTTTAGTTTGGGCGGTAGCTTGGCGGAGTTGTTTTTCTTGGGTTTCTAATTGGGTGAGGCTGGGCTGGTTGGCTGGGGTTTTAAGTTCAGAGGTTTTTGTTTGGGCTTGTTCGTAAATTTCTTCGGTAGCGGTGATATTTTGCTGAATTTGCTCTTGGATTTCGGCTAACTGGGCTAAGAGTTGGCTTTTGGTGTCTTCGATTTGTTGGAGGAGTTCTTCAGCGATTTCTTGCTGAGGCTTGCCTTGTTCGCCAGTAGTCTGGGTAGTTTCGGGGTTTCTTTTGTCTTCGGTAGTGAGAGGGGCAGATTCGTGTTCGCCTTTAATTCTAGTGTCTCAACCTCATTCTCTTAATTCTTCTGCGGTGTATTTTTTGGCTCAAGAGGAATTAGGGTCGAGAGGCATGCCTTCCGGGCGAGGGATTTGGGCTTCGGTGCCTTCTAAGATGCCGACTTTTCATTCTCTTTCGGCTAGTTCTTCGGTAAGAGTGGTGTGGGATTGCTGGAGGATATTGAGTTGGGCGAGAAGTTTGGCTTCATCAGCTTTGAGTTGGAGGGTTTTTTGGAGTTTAGAAAAGGCGAGTTCTTGGGCGGTGAAGTCAGAGAGTTGTTGGGTTTTTATAAGGTTGTCTAGGCGTTCATTGGCTAACCGGGCTTCTTGCTTGGCTAATGCCGTTTCCAGTTGGTTTTTTTGGATTTGGGCTTCAAGTTCTTGGATAAGTTGGCGTTCTTTGGCTAGTTCGTCGGTAAGATTGTCGATTTTACGCACTGCTTTTTTGGCGGTAAAGAGGGCTTCTTCGGTTTTTTCATCGAGGTCAAAGATTTCTTGGTGGAGTTTATTGAGGCGTTCGTGGGTTTCTTCGGCGATTTCTTCCATGCCTTGGGCGACAAATTCCAGTTTAGCAGCTTGTTCTTGGAGGAGGTGAGTTTGAGTTTCGGTGTCTTCCAGGATGTCGCGGAATTCGTGGTCGAGTTTTTTTTGGGCGAGTTTGGTGTGGTTGAGTTCTTCTTGGTAGTCTTCAAGGCGGTCTTGGTGGTCGGCTATTTTAGCATTTAAGGTTTTGGTTTGGCGGGTGTATTCTTGTTCTAGGCTTTCAAAATCTTGTTGGGTTTGGGCAGTTTGTTGGTTGATTTGCCCTTGGAATTGGTTGAGGTTGTCGGATAGTTCGTTTATTTCTTGCTGGGTTTGGCTGGTTTGTTGGTTAAATTTGGTTTGCTGTCGTTGGAGGTTGTCGGCTAAATCTTGCTTTTGTTGTTCTAAGTTTTCGAGCTTAGAGTTGGTGGTTTTAATGGCGTCGGCTAATTCTTGGTCTTTGCGTTCGCGTTCGAGTTTTTCTTCAAAGATTTTTTGGGCGTTGGCTAAGGTGCGTTTTTCGACGATGTCAAGAGTTTCATCAATTTCGCTTAAATGGGTTTGGATTTCTTCGTTAATGCGATTTTGGGCTTGAGTAATGTTCTTAATTTGGTTTTCTAGTTGTTCTCTTTGGCTTTCCATTTCTTGGCGAAGTTGCTGTTTGGTTTCTTCATTTTTTTGTTGGATTTCGGCTTTGAGTTCTTGCTTTTGTTGCCGCATTTCGCCGGAGAGGTTAGCGATTTCGGAGTCGATGCGACTGATTTCTTGGGTGAATTTGGCGTCTTGTTGTTGGAGTTTATGGTCAAAGAGTTCAGCTTGCTGGTGGATTTGTTCTTGGAGTTCGGATTTCATTTCGCTCATGGCTTGCTTTAGTTCGTGGCCTTGGGCTTCGAGGTCGGATTTGAGACCTTCAACGTCGTTGCGAACATCATTTAAGCCTTGTTTAACGGAGCCTAAGCCTTCTTCTAAGCCGTCTATGCGGTTGCCCATGCCAGCTATTTTGCCTTCGAGCTCACCTTTCGCGTCTTGGAGAGCTTTGCCGGCTTTTTTGAAGCCTTCACCCATTTCTTTGCCTTGTTTGTCAAGTTTTTCGTTAGTGTCGGCTATTCCTTTTTGGGCTTTACCTACTTTTAGGGCTAAACTGGAGATGGATAAGTCTATACAGGCGTCTTTTACTCGGTCGACTAAATGGGAGGCTAATTTGAAGCCTTTGCTAGCTACTTTAGCCACGTCTGAAACTCAGCCTCCAAACCAAGGAATTTTTTTAGCTGCTCAACTTACTGCTTTGTGAACGCCAGATGCTACTTTCAAAATTTCTTCAGTCATTCCGAGAGTTTCGTTTGGAGTTATGGTTCCGGCTTTAATGCCGTCTATTATGGAATCAATAGGAATTTCTCTTATACCTACTGCTCGCAAAGCAGCATTTAGTTTTCCTATGGTTCAGCGGCAAGATCTTTCGGTTATACCTCGCTTTTTCTCGGCTTGTTCTAGCTCGGCAGTCGTTACTGGTTTTTCGTTATTCGTCATAGTTTTGGGTTTGTTTATAATTGTGAATGGTTAAAATTGGCTAAATCAGGGCTAGCTAGAGGGTTTGTTTGGATAAAAATAAGTATTATGGAAAGTGAAAATAGGAGTTTAGAATTAAGGTTAAGGAAGCAAGAGGCTAAGCAGGAAATAAGAGAGAGTAGAATTAATGAAAGCGACATGATTTGACCATGTAAGCGGGGCAATAGTTGGAATTTCTCTTTTTCCTCTCCTTGCTGTATTTTGACAGACGCCAGTGACAGGAATTCTTCTTTGGCTTGCTTTGGTTGTTTCGTGCTGCACAGCCATCTATATTGGTAAAGTAAATAGCGATAAAGGAAAAAGAGTTAAACAAATAGACCAAGAAATAGACAAACTCAAAAAAGAAATAAAGAATTTAGAGAATTCAATCAGATAGGGAAAACAAAAGGTTCTTATACAAGGATATAGGTTATTTTAATTTGTCAAATTTCTCTTGCCGATAGCAATCAACAATGCCTAAAACACTTGGTTCATCATCAGCGACACACCAAACTAACTTATAAGCTTTAACTCCCTGGTAAACTCGAAAAGAATAATAAGTTCAATGGTAATATCTGCCTTCTGGATCTACTTTTTCGCTATCTAACTGGGGAATTAATAATTTTCTAATTAAGTCGTCGGTGATTAATTTCGCAGCTAACTGTTTAGAGGTTAGTTTAATTTCCTTTCTCTTTAAAGCTTCCAAATATTCTCGGTTGTGCTTCTCGTAATAAGGGCTGATTTCTAGTTTAGTTAAATGTTGCCGGTTAATTCATAAGTCGCAATCATATTTTCTTAAATTAGTGGGCTTCTGAGGTAGTTTGACCATAGGGAATATTAATTCTTAGCTGACAAGAGAGATGTAAATAATTGGCATATTCTGCTAATTCTTCTAAATCAAGTTCATCGATGTGAGAATACAAAATCTTTTCTGTTTTCGTAATAGTTAGTCCCAATTGCTTAGCTACTTCTTTGGTGGTTAAGTCATTATCTTGCTTATAACCAAGGATGCTTTTGCAGAGTTTATATTTAGCTTTTTCTACCGGAGTAGCATTGGAAGCTAAACCGATATTAGTTCTTCTATCAGTGCGGGCAATTCTTTTACGAACTCTTTCTAGTTCTTCCTTAGGCGGAAAAGTAAATCGCTTAGGACTAGGACTAACTTTTTTAATTATTGGCATAATATTATTATTTTTAGTTCAAACCAAGGGCAAGGGCAACATAATTCAAATTAACTCCCGCTAATAATCCACAAAATAAGCAACAAAGCCACACAAATCCAAAATAACCCTCGATAGAAAGCTTCTTGTTTTTTGTAGTAATCTACCGGTTTCCAAGCAGTTTCTTTGGCTTTGGCAGAATAAGTTTCGATTTGCTGGCTAGCTTGGCTTTCTAATTCTTCGGTTTTGCGGGCAATTGGCTGTTTCACATACTCATCCCAAGTTTCTCAGGCTCAGTTTTTCACTGTTTCTTTAATTCCCATTATTTTTTTCTCCTTTCCGGTTAAGTAATCACAAACCGCCAATCACTACCAAGGCTAAAGTAGCCAGCAATCAGGGATTAATTGGTTCAGTTTTAGCGGGAAATTTATCGGGCTTGGGTTTTTCTTTGGCTTTTAGTTGACCCTGTAAACTAACCACCTCTAACCTTAGTTTGCTCAATTCTTTGCTTTTTCTAGTTAAAGTTTCTTGGTGTTCTTGGCAATTGGTTTCTAATTGGGCGACTAGTTCGCTAGCTTCCTTTTTGCCTTTTAGCTTTTGTTTGGCGAGATTGAAGAGGGATGTTTCGAGGTCAGTGATTTTTTGCTCTAATAAGGACTGGTTTTCTTGGGCTTGGGCTAATTGCTGGAGAGATTGAGTTAAATCTTTTTGGAGCTGTTCCTTTTGCTGGGCTAATTCAGCGCTTTCTTGCTGGGCATGGGCTAATTGTTCGCTAGTTTCCTTTAAAACTTCCTCACTCTTTGCTAAATTCTTCTCTAAACCTTGGATAGTTTGTTCTTGCTTGCGGTTCTCGGTAATTTGCTTTTGTAAGACTTCTTTGTTTATTTGAAGCTTTTTTTGCTCGGCTTCCAGTTCTTTTTTGCTGACGCTGGCTTTTTTTAGTTCGGCAATTTCTTGGCGTAAGTTAGCCATGGAGGTTTGGCTGGCGGTTAAAGTTTTTTGGAGTTCTGCTAGTTCTTTTTGTTTTTCTTGGAGGGCTTTTTCGTTAGTTTCTTTGGTTTGCTGTAATTGTTGAGTTTTGGCTAATTCTTGGGTGAGTTCAGTGGTTTTGCTGGTTAGTTGGGTTTCTAACTCTTGAATACGGGCTAAATGTTGGGTGATTTCTTGCTTGAGCTCCTGGGTTTCCTTTTTGCCTTTGAGTTTTTGTTTAGCGAGATTGAAGAGTTGGGTTTCTAAGTCTTGGATTTTTTGTTCTAGTAAAAGTTTGGTCTCATGGGCTTTATTTTGCTCTTCGGTAAGTTGGATTTTGAATTCTTTTTTTATTAAGATTAGTTGTTCTTTTTGGCTCATGCCCTTATCTTCTTCAAAGTCTGCCTCGTCATCTAAAGGAAATGTGACTTGTTTTCGACTGGGAGGTATACGTTCACCTAACTCCCTTTGCAAGCAAGCACTACATAAATCTTCGCCTCAGTAAATTCGTTTTTTTCTCCACACTGAGCGCAGTTTTTAGTTGTTCTTAACACGCCACTCCCTCCTGCTCTCTCTCTCTCTCTCTCTCTCTCTCTCTGCTTGTGTGCGTGCGTATGTGTGTCGCATCCATTCAATTCTTAAATTCTTCGAGTGAACTATCACTATCCCAGCCTTTTAACTTTTTCTTTCTAGTCATCACTCCCTCCTTTCATCGCCAACCAAACCACCAAACCTGCCAAACCTAACCAAAGAGGTCAGTTTAAATTAGACCAAAGAGAACTAGTTTTGGGCTGACGATCAATTGCTTTTAACTCTAAGCGGGTATTTTTCAACTCGGCTTGCTGTAATTGGCTTTGGATGATGAGTTTTTTCTTATTGAGGGCTAAGAGCTTGTTTTCTAACCGGCGAATTTCTTGAACACCCTCTTGGATATTCTCTTCTAACTCGCCTTTTAAAGCTTGTTTTTCCTCATAGTATTCGCCAAAGTCTTTGAGGCTTTTTAAGCGTAGTTCGAGGATTTGCTGTTCTAATTGGCTGATTTTCGTTTTTAATTCAGCCGGGTTTTTTTCGGTGGCATCCACGAAAGTTTCTTTGGCTTGCAATTCTTCTTCTAACTCAGTGATTTTCGCTTGGGCCGCTTGGAGCGATTGGAGGTAATTTTGGCTAGTTTGGGCGTGGAATTTAATTTGGCTTTGGAGTTGGCTGATTTCTTGTTCAGGGCTGAGGGTCTGCGGGGTTTCTGGTTGCGAGGCTGATTTTTTTAAGGGAATATTCGGCAAAGGGGGAGTAAGGGGAATATCTCCGGTAGATTTAGAGCGTTTTAATTGGCTGGGTTTGAAGTTTCCTTGGGCGAATTCTTGCTTTAATTGTTGGGCGATGGCGTCTTTCATGGTTTTTGGTTAAATAGCAACAGAGCATGGGCAGAGTGTGGTTTAACTTTTTGGGGTCAAGGAAGCTTTCAATTGGGTTAATTCGGCTTGGAGAGTATCGATTTGCTTTTGCTCTTGGCCGTTTTTCTTTTCCAGGATTAGTTGCTTTTGGCGGAGGACAACAGTGTAGCTGGCAAAAATGGCGAGGGAGACCACGTTAGTTAAGCCTAACATTAAGGCAATTTCACAGCAGGTAATCATATTCTTTTAATTCTTAAAAAAATAAGGAGCTTCGCACATGGTTATTTGCTGGCTTTAAGCAATTCCCCTAAGCCTTTGCCCAGTGTTTCGTATCCTTGTTTGATTTTCTTCACGGCTTGGATTTTTTGAGCGGACATTTTAGCGTTAATGGCTAGGGCGTTATGCTTACAATCCCGGCAAGCTTGGGTTATCCTTTTACCTTTTAAGCCTTGTTGAGTTTGGTGGCAAAGGCATTGGTAATAAGCGAGAGTGTTTTTGGCTTTAGTTTTAGCGGACAAGAGGGCAGTAGTTTTGGCTTTAATTGGTTTGCGGGTAGCTTTTTTAGTTTTGGCTTTTTGGGTTTCTCTTTCAGGCGAGTTAACCTTAACGCTAAATAAACCTAACTCTTATAAAACCACCTAACCATCCCCATACGGGATAAAAAAAAGCCCCTCCGCCCTCGGTTTTTGGGAAATCCTCAACAAAAAAAAGCCTACTTGGCTCTTAGGGATTAAAACTTAATTAAACAAGCAAACAGCTTTCGATTTGCTTCCGCACACGTTTTCAACTTATTCATGCTATTGCCTAATTACAAAGACTAAGTGTCGATGCTTTCGGCTCCGCGTGGGCTGTCTCTCTCTGGGACTGGATTGCTTGGCTAATTAAGTGGTTTGAAAGAGTTTGTTAATGAGACATTAACTGAAAGAGACTGGCTTCTTTAAGGTCTGACCAGTGAAAGACCTCTGGTGAGTTTTTTGGCTTGATATTTTCGGTCAGCTTTAACTCAATCGCAACAGCCGCAAGGATAACGCTTGCGGTTGTGCTTGTAGGCTTGTTTAGTTGGCTTTTGTGCATGGGCTTTTAGGTGGCGACCTCCTTGTAATCAATGAGTTGGTTGTTGGTGAAGTATCAGCAATTAGAGCAATATTTATTGGCAGAGCAACCCGCAGCACAGTTATAGTTAGTGTGGTTTTGCCATTCTTGGATTAGGCGAGTTAGTTTCGGGTTAGCCATTTCCGGATGAGGTTTGCCGTTTTTGGAGGGATGGCTAACCTCTAATTTTGGGTTAGCCGTTTTAAGACTAAGCTGGCTGTGGCTAACCTGACTAAAGTTTTCCGGGTTAGCCGTTTTTTGGCTAACCTTGGTTTGGTTATGGCTAACCGCCAAATGGCTAACCTTTTCCTGGCTATGGCTAACCTCCTCAGTGGCTAACCCGAATTTGGCTAACCTTCTTTTTTGGCGGCGTTTTTGGTTGAGGATTTCTTTATTCGCTTGCCAGTAGGCTTTGAGTTGGTCTTTGGTGTAGGGCATTATTTTTTCCCTCCTTTTTTTGGCTTTTTCTTAGCAGCAAGTATTAAGTAGAAGCAGCAAATTAGCCAGCTCAACAAACCATTAAAGACACAACCAATTGCCAAAAGTCGGGGGCAAATTGGCAAAATAGTTCAGCTTCTCAGGGAAAGTATACCGATTAGCAAATTAGCAAGAGCAAGAAAAGCGAGCAGCAGAGTGAACATTTTATTCGCCTTTCCTCCTCGTTGGCCGTTAGTTTTTTCTCCTTGGTGGGTGGTTGATAGAGCTTTTGTTCGCTTGCTAGCTATTTGGTGTTTTTGGCTTAAATAGGCTTTGTGCTTTTGGTTGTAAGCTTTTCAGTAGGCTTTATTCATGGTTGGCTCCTTTCTTTGGCTGATACTGGGCTTGGTTGCGGGCTTTTTTATAGTTTAATCAGGCTTGGTGGACTGAAGGGTTTTTCTTTAAATGAGCGGGCTTCTTGGGAACTTTTGGCTGGTTAGTTGGGCTTTGCTGGGGATATTTATTCATTGCTAGCTTCCTCCTCTTTTAACTCTTGCCAGTCTCGTAAAATAAAGCCCTTCTTGCGCTTTTCGCCGTAAAGGAGGTAGCGCTTATCGACATAGTGGCTGTGGATAATGGCTTTTCAGATGGTGGGGTTTACTAGGTTGGGGTAGACAAAGAAAGTAGGCTTTTCGTTATCTTCGGTTAAAACTTTCAACTTATAATAAGCTTGGCCGTGGAAAGGGTTGGCTTTGCTGTAGACTTTCTTGGTTGGCGATAATTTTGCCGAGCAGTTCGCTGAGGTTCATTTAGAGTTGGTCCTCCTCGCATTGGGAGCAAAGTTTATCTTGCTCTCAAAATTTAAACCAAGACCAAAAGCCTAAGGGTTTGCCACACTTTTGGCAGTGGTTGTATTTAGGCATTGGAACCTCCTCAATTAAAGGGTGCTGGGGTTTTTTGGCCTTTTTTGATTTGTTTGGTTTGACAATGGTGGCAAGTATAAATAAAGTAGTTATTGCCGTTAAGGTGGAAAGAGTCTAAGCCACAGCTAGCTGGCTTTTTCGGTTGGGTGGCTAAGAAGCTAAAAGGGCTTTGGCGAATGGTTAAGTTATTCATGGCTTGCCTCCTTTTTGGGTTCATTAATGGCTTGGTAGGCAATTTCAATGATTTCGCGAAAGTAGGCTCTTAATTGGGCTTTTTCGGCTTTTAATTGTTGGATTTCGGCTTGTAATTGGCGAAGGGTTTTGGGCTTTTTAAGCATTTTCTCCCTCCTCTCTTTGGTTTTCTCAGTCGTCGATTAAGGAACAGAGACCGGGTTCGGTAGTTGGTTCATTGTGTTGGTTGTGTTGGTTGCTCTTTTGGTCTTGGAGGAGCTTTAAGGCTTCTTTTAATTGTTCGGTGAGGTTATAGAGGGTGTCGCTATCCCAAGTGTCCGGGTCATCAGCGTCAATGGCTTGGGCTTCTGTGATGTTGTCTAAGAGGGATTGGAGCTTTTCCAGCTTGGTTTCAATTTGCTTGGTGAGTTTTTTGTTCATTATAAGTTGCCTCCTTTTCACAGTTTATATTCTTGGGAAAGCTTTCAGTCTGCTCCGTATTTGGCTTTTAATTCGGCTTCTTTTTGTTGGTCTTTGGTTTGGAGTCTTTTTTGGATGGCTTCGGGGGTTTCTTGCTGACCGTTTTTTAAACGGTTTAAGTGTTCAGTGGATTTAGTGACATCGGGGTCTAGTTCATCGGTAGTGGGAATGAGGAAAAACTTGGTTAGGAAGTATTTAATCGCGTAAGTTTCCGCACAGCCTTTGGCTTTGGCTGGGTCGGAGTTGCTACCGATAGCCCAGAAATGAAAGGTGAGTTGCTCTTCGGGTTTTTCCGAGTTGGTGAGAATGGCTTGCTTGCCATAACGCACAATTCACTCTTTATCCGGTTTTTCAGTGCTGATTTGGTTGGGGTCATCAGCAAAAGTTAAAGTGAGCTTTTGTTCAGCGAGTAAGGGCTTAAGGATATTGAGGGCTTGCTGCTCGGTGAAATAGCGGTAGTTTTGGAATTTGTTTAATTCGCTTTTGCTAATGGCGCCAGTTTGGCTTTGGATTTGTTGGAGCTTTTGGTAGAGGTTAAGCATGGTGGACCTCCTTGCCTTTGGGGTAATGTTCTTGGCGGTAGTGTCTTTCCATGGCTTTGGGTTGGTAAGCCGCAAAAGCACACCGGTAAAAACAATTGATTTTTTGCTTGGTTAAAGCACAAAGTTTACAAACTCTTGGTTTTTGGTTGGGGAATTGGACTATTCCGCTACTATCGATACACTCAGGGCAATGGTTTTCTTTGCTTACATAGCGACTACCATTAATCGCGCAATTAAGGCAATAATCATAATTAGCTTGCCGGTAGCAAGTGAAATAATCACCGCAACCGAAGCACTCTCTTTGGCTTCTTGGTTTAATTTTGCTTGGTTTTTGGGCAGTTCTTGCCGTGGCTATGTTTTTCATAGTTTAAGCCGGTAAGCTGGGCTTATGGGCTTAGATTATGGGATTTAGCAGCTTTCTCCTCGCCTAACCTTTGTAGGTAAAGCACCAAGCCAGTGGCGAGGAAAGGGAGAACGCTAACCACTTTGGTTAGCCTGGCTTGGCTCATTTGTTTCGCCCGGAAGTGATGAAGAATGGTCTTTCTTCCGGGCAACAGAGTTCCTGTTCTACATTGGCGTTCTCCCTCCTTCTTTTTGCCAAGGTTGGTGGTAGTTTAAGTTTCAGCGAGTGAGATAAGCATTTCTGGAGGCGATTGGGTCGGTAAAGCGACTGTCAGCAAAGCCTTGTTTTTCTTCAATGTCGAAAGTTTCGGCTTGGTTATCAAGATTATGGACAAAAGCCTTTGCTAGCTGGGCGTTTTCTTTGGCGAAATTAAATCTTAAAACTGGCATTTTTTGGAAATGAGTGTGCGCTAATTGGTCGCATTTATTGCTGGTTTGGGGGACTTGGAGCTGTTCGAGAGGTAAATTTAGGAATTCAGCTTTTTTAGCGAGCAAAAGCAGGCTGGTGATTAAGTATTCTTGGAAGTCTATGGGGACTATTTTGCTAGAGGTTTTTTTCCGAAAAGTTAAGCTGGCTGGTTGTTTGGCTTCTTGGGCTAATTTCAATAAAGGCAAAGCATTCAAGCCATGGTAGCCTAAGCGGTAGCTCTTTTTGACTAAAAGAGGCTTAGCACAATGACCGACTAAGGTTTCTTTGGTGTGGTAATAATAGGTGTTATCTGGCTTTCTGAATAAGTGTTGATTAGGAGCAAGGTGTTTTCCCGTGAGAAAATCCCGTTTAGAGCCATTGGCGACTGTGGCTTTGTGTTCTTCATAAGCATAGAGGTTTTTAAAAAAGCGGTAAGTTTTATTTTTGTTGTTAAGCCCATGCTGTTGGTAAAGATTGCGGAGGTGGAAAGACTTGGAGAGATATTTAGCGAGGTATTGGCTGATAGTTTTTCTTCCGGTGGAGCGACTTTCTACCCTTCCGTGAGGTCAAAGTTGAGAGATATAGGCTCGGCAGTTTCAACAGCTTTTAAAGTTTTTGCTTAAAGTGCAATTATGGGTATAAGGCACAATGGGTGTTGACAGGAAATGGAAATGCCAGTGTCCGTTTTTCTGTAATTCGGCAATGACGGCTCACTTCCATTGATCGGGTTTAAATACTTTGCGGACTTTCCGGAGAAATTGGCTTAAGGCTCGGCTAGCTGGGGTTCAATTGCTCGCTGTTTCCGGAGAAGTTTTTAGGATTTTGACTTTAAGAGGCTCAGCATTAGGGTCCAGCTGACTGGCTCAGTTTCTTAGCCAAGTTTTTTTATCGGTCAAGGGCGTTCAACATTTGTCGGCTTGGCTTCAATTGCTGGTAAAAGCAAACAAATCCTCCCGGGCAGTATTAAAAGTGAGCGTTAAGAATAAAAGTGGTCTGTTCTCAGCAGTGCCTTCAAAGTTGGCTTCTATTTTATCTTTAAAGAGGGTATGGAGGCGTTTTTCTTTGGAGCTAAATAAAGCAAAGTATTGACAGTTTTGGGCGTCTTTTCGGCAATTGAGAGGTAAAGTAGGCTTGGGGTTTTGGTTCGGCTTTTTTGGCTTTATCTTTTAAGTAGAAATTCTTCGCTGAGGGTTTAGATATTATTACGCTGGTGCGTTGGGTGCTGGCTATTTGCTTAAAGGAGACATTCAAAACGTTGAAATCTCGGTGGTCAGAAAGCAACCAACTCTGTAAGTCTGCTTTGCTTACTTGCTTGATTTTAGCTAAGGCGTCCATGAGGAATTTTGGATGCTTGAAATTCAAACTGGTAGTTATGTTTGCATTAAATAAAATTAATAATTATGACAAAAGAAAAATTAATAGCAGAACTAGGAAAAAAATCTTCTTTGTTTGGGGGACCAAAAGGCGGCGAATTCGATGACCTTGACAAGATTGCTAAGGAACTTGGCACTAACAAAACAGGTCTTTTAAATAGCAATAAAATAAAAGATATCCACGTAGAAAAGATAAAAGTCAGATATGGAGAAGAAATTATAGATGCAATTCAATTCTTTTACAAAGTAGCAACAAATGATAAAACTTATTCAATTGAGGGTAGTAAGCATGGAGGTAATGGCGGAAAAGAAGCAACAATTAATTTAGAAACTGGTGAGTATATATTAAGAGTATCTGGAAAGAGTACTACCAAGTATGGTGGACGAATTGGTCAATTAAACTTTTGAACTTATATACCTTCTAAGAAGCAAATAAAACTTTACGGACCATATGGAGGTAATGATGGAGAATTGTTTGATTTGCCAGCTTGTGCTTGTATTTTTGGAAAGAGTGGTGCAAACTTAGACGCTCTTGGAATGTACGAGGCCAAGGTGTCTTCTAATTATGATAAAGATAAAAATCAATGAGAAGCGGAAAAAAATCAATTTACTGAACTCCAAAAAGAAACTGCCAAACTCCAACAACTTTCCCAATTTTTTTTCCCTAATCAACCTTATAATTTCAACCAATTCAAACAGGAAATCATTCGCCTAAAACGTCAAGAACTCGCCCCGCAAGTGCGAAACGAAAAAGACAGGTTTGAGCAATTAATCACCAATGCTAAAACTAAGGCTGGTAATCTAGAAAAAATAATTGATTTGCTACTTGAAACCCAAAAACAAATTGGTGAAAACAAGCAAGGCAACGACCAACTAGCCCAAGCCCGCTTGGAAGGACAATTAACTGCTTACCAAAACGTCCTTGAAGGAAATTTAACCAAAGAGGAATTACAAGCTCTCTTAAATAAGCAAATCGAACTGTGCCAATTAGAAAAACATTTAGCCAGTTTACAAATTAATGAACAAACTGCTCAAATTATCCAACCTACTTACGGCATACCTGAACCTAGCAAAAATAACTAAAAAACTAATTGTGTTTAACGATTTTAAACATTGAGAGCATTTAATTTTTTCGTTGCTTTTCATAACACTCTAACGCTTTCTCCAACACTTCCACATACTTTAATCTTTCCTCGTAGGATATGGCTTTTAATTTCTTTAATCATTCCTCACTAACCGAAGTATTAAATTGGTGAATGCGGTGGGTTTTTCGTAAAGTTCTTTTGTCGATTTCCAAAGAACGCAAATTCTCGCTAACTTCTACTGGTGGCGTGCCAAAATCTTTTTTATTCATATATTATATTTTATAGTTCCTATGTTATATAGTTCCTATTTTCTTTATTATTAATTTTATTAGTTCTTGGGCTTGCTTGCTTAATCGAGAGTATTTTACCTCACTAATGGCTTTTCCTTCATTTTGGGCTTCCCGATAACTTATTTCCTCGGATAAAGAGAGAGGGAAAATATAATAACCCGTTTTTTCTAAATAGTTCCTAGCAGCTTTTTCCTCAGCTAATGAACTAATCCGATTAAGTGTAAAAGCTAACTTGTTTTTAGGAATTCCTGCCTTCAATAAACTGTTGAATTCTCTAATAGCCGGATTTAAATCATCCAAGGAAGCACCGACCGGCTGAATAATTAAATCAGCCACCTTGGCAATATTTAAAGTTCCTTCACTAATGCGAGCAGGTCCGTCAATTATTAGGTAATCGTAAGGGCTTTTAGTTAGTTTTTCCTCAAAAAAAGGATAAGATTGACAAGTAATTAAAGGTTTTATTGCTTGGTTTTTCCTTCTTTCCGCTCATTCTTGGCTGGTTTTTTGTTGGATGTCTAAATCTACTAATAAAGTATTTTGTTTTTGTTTAGTTAGTTCTACCGCCAAAGCACGGGCAAGCGTAGATTTCCCCCCGCCGCCTTTTTGGGATAAGCAAGCAATTATTCTTTTATCCATAAATTTCTCAATATAAATCCACTAATTCTTCAAAATCTAAAAGGTATAAAAGCTTTTCGCCAATTTCTTTTATTTCTCTTTCGCTTAAAGTTCCTAATTTTCCCTCTTTTTTAATTATTCGACTTTCGTTATATATTCGCACTTGGTCGCATAAAGCCTTACCTTTCCTAGCAGCAACCATTACTGGAACTTCAAAAGGGCGAATTATTTCTAATTTTTTGCTAGTAATAGGAATTGCCACAAAACGAACATTTTTCTTATTTAAGCGATTAGTAGAGACAATTACTGCCGGGCGATTTTTCTGTTGTTCGGTGCCTTCGGTTTCTTGGCGACTAACCCGGAATTTGTAGACTTCACCCCGTTTAATTATCATATCATTCTCAATCTTTATTTTTTTCGTCATCCTCCTCTTGGGCTTGGTCGAGTAAAGTAATTTCTTTTTCTCGCTCTTTATCTTTTATGGTTTCTCCGTAGTTAGCAAATAAATCTTTTTTTCTTTGGGTTTGGTTAAAGACCTTGTAATTTTGCTTTTCTTGGTCGAGAAAACCCTTTATCTTTTCTGCCTTATTAGTTCTAATGATAATTAATTGTTCCATAATATTATATTTTTATCCTCGCACAATTGACCGAGAACGCTTAAAAAAACATTTAGGAGTAGCCAACAGGGAAACAATGGAACAAGCAAAAAAGGCTTGAAAAATTGCTTTTATTACGGATGAATGATAAATTAAGAATAAAAACTTTAATCTATGGGTGATTTGGGGAAATCGTAAACAAACACTACACCCCCAAAGGCACAGCAGCAATATTTTCTCTCACTGGCCTAATTGGAAATTCATTGAACCAGTAAGCCAAGAAGAATTTAAAAACTTTGTTAAATACTCTACCTTTAAAATGAAAAGACCTCAAAGAAAAACTTAAAAAGGAACGAGAGGAGAATCGAAAATTCAGAGAAAAAAAGAATTCCAAACAGTTTTTTGTTCTTTTGTGTAAAATTCTATATTATTGCCTTATGTGAAAAACAGTAGCTAAATTCATCAGCGAACCAGTCTACCACGAAGTTCAATTCATGAAATTCTACAAAGCTACTTTGGAAAATAAAGAAGGAAAATTCATCTGCTCTTTTGGGGAAAAATATTTACAAGACTATTCCCCAGAAAAGAAAGTCTGCTTTCTAAAATGCAAAAAAACTAGTTTCGGATTCTCTTGCCAAGCCATAGAATTTTTAGAAAATAGCGAAGAAATTACTTCCTGAGTAGAAACTGCCGGTAAAGAAAGCAAAGAAAAAGCAATTCAAAGCAAGGAAGCCTTAAAAAAAGAACTGACCGAAAAGGCCAAAATAATTGTTAGTTTACTGGAAAAAGAGGCGGGAAACAATTGAACCTTTCGCATTGGGTCTCAACCCTTTTCCATTTATTTAGAATGCTTGGAAAAGCCGCATTTAAGGTTTTTAATCAGCAACTTTGCTAAAAATCAAGTAGTTTTAGATAGTAATTCGGCTCTTAACCATTTAAAAAATGTTTATGTTGATTTAACTAAGATTGACCTTTATTATTTGTTTAAAGACATCGAGGAAAGAATTAAAGTTATTGAAAAGTTGACTAATGATTAAGAACAGTACTAATTTGTGCATAGATTAATTGCCGCTTTCATGGTTAGTTTTTACTAATTGGTTCAGTGTGGGTTGGGCTTACCTTTTGCCCTCTTATCATGGTAATCCGCGTATAAACTCTCTAAATTTCGCTCCAATATTTCTCGTCAGCTGATTTGGGTATGGAATTCTTTTTAGGGAAAAACTTTTTTTCTGTTGGGACGCACAAAAATGCACGTAAATTATTCAATCAAATTTGTCCTAATGACAAATTTAGATATAATCCTAATTTCTACTCTATTTTGGGCTTAATCCAACAAAGAAAATCTTAACAAAAAAATATTGGCAAATCTTCGAAAATGTTGACGGGAATTTGGTTTGGTAGCAATTTTGAGTTGTTGATAATAACCTTAGTGATTTTATTGGTTTTGCTAATTGGCGGGTTAATTGCTCTTTTCTGGTGGTGAAAAAAATCTGCTCGGGAGAGTTAAATTCAACAAAACAACATTTTTATTTATTTTCCTTTAATCATTCTTCCATTTTTTGTTTTGCTTTTTGGTAATCATTAATGGTTTTAGGCTATAAAATAATTTAACCCTTCCCCAATCTCTCTAAATAAACCCTTAAACTTTCTTCAATAATGGCGGTTCTTTGCCCCTCCGGTAGAGAATAATAAAAATTCATTAAACTGGGATTAAGGCTAAATCGCACGGTAATTTCCCTTTTGGGCGTGTGTTTGTCTCTTTCAACGAGGTTAATCTCTATTTCTCCGTTTTGATAAGCTTGTAAGCCTTTTCTAATTAATTCCGAGAGGGAAGGATAAGTATAGTTATTGCGGGTTCATTGGGACTGTAACATATTCTCCGCTTGTTGGCACAAATGGGCGTTTAGAGCAAAAGTAATCCGCATGCTGCGGTTAAGTTTGGTGACTTCTTCAACGTTAATTCGCTTAGTGATTTTTCGCATAGTGGTTGAATAATTGGGTAAAGATTTCTTGGGCTTGCTCGCTTTCTTTTTGGGTGAAAAAATTATCTTTATTTCCATTCAATAGTGAACCATACAAAGCGGGGCGCTGGGACAAGGTAGGCAATACTACTC